ACAACACACACACACACACACACCACCCCCCACCCCCCACCGGAACTCATCCTCCCCCTAAGTGTACCGGAAAGTTACAAGCTGCCTCCCCGCTCCCCGCCGGCTGGGTGGGGCTCCGTGAACACTAGTGAACAGCGCCCAGTGAGTGCACCGTATGTCCCCTGTACGGGACCAGACGCTGGTCGTGAATAATGCACGACAAACCATTGTGGTTCACATACTCAACTGTACCAACAAGAGGAGGCGCTACCACGACACCATCACTCCAGCGGTACCCATGCTGGTTTACTCCATCCCCCGCTGTATGGCTTTTTAATTTATTTTTTTAAATAGTAGAGGTTTTACGGCGCTCGCGACTGCATAAGGTCATATGAGCGCCATAATAATAAGGCTTTGTATGAACAGAACAACACTCACACACAATACGAATACGTACATACCGACTACACAAAAAGAACGCACAAGTATAATAACGCAGCGACACCACCCGCAGGAACAGAAGAGGACAAGAGCTTTTATAAAGTTTGTTTTGTTTTTAGTAGAGGTTTTACGGCGCTCGCAACTGCATAAGGTCATATAAGCGCCAGAAGATTAGAGGTGTTACAAGAGAGTAACAAACATAAAAAAGAAGGAGGGGAGATAAGGAGGATGTTTGATAGGAAAGAAGGAGCGAACCACACCAGAGCACCCGTCAACCACCCACTTTTAAAGTTTTATTTTCAGGAAAATGTTACGGCACTTGTAAAAGGGTGGGAGGCGGCAGGACGGGCGATAAAGATGATAGGTGTTTGGTAAGAAAGAAAGAGGCAAACCACATCAGAGCACCCGCCAGTCACCAATTTAGTCATTAAAACAGTACATGTATTTTAAAAACCACAATACAAGAACCTACAAGTAGCGCACAGAAACCACCAACAGGAAAGGAAAAGAACAGGACAAGGGCAATACTATACAGGAAAGGAAATATGTTGGAGTAAGAGAAGTACATCGACAAAACAACGGTTATTTAGTGCAGGGAAATAGAAAGACAATATAGAAAGACAATACAAGAGCTTTTTCCCAAAAAAATTACGTATGAGTTATATACCACTTCGCTTTTAACACAAACAGGCCATATAAATATCGAAGATAAATGGTGTAACTCTAAAAGAGTAACATACAAAAAAAGGAGGAAATGTACGAAAGGTGTATGCCTGATAAGAGA